AGTTTGATCAAGCATAGGTATGAGGCTGATGTAGAGAGTAAAGAAGATGACCTTGATGGAAATATGCAACTTCCATTGCCAGGGTGACACGTGTGTGTGTGAAACATATTTTAAGTCCACAACACAACAAATTTGAAAGTGGCTTAAATACACCTCCCTAATTCATTGAGCTATAGGAAGGAGGAGGAGATACAGCACAATTAGACTTGCAAGATTCTGTTACTGCAGCCAATCTCAATAAAGGTAGTTTTAGCCTTCCTGGGGAATTTATTTCTTGGTCTGGTTTACCTAGTGGGGATGACATCCATGTTCAGGCCTACTCTGTGGCAATAAGGGCAGTAAAGAGTTCTTACTTTTTCACTGTTACTGCATTGGCAGGATGTCATGCAGAGGCTCTGTCCAGGTGTCCAGTATCCTTTTGGGCAAGAACTGTCTTGCTGGATTTCCACCTGGCTGCTGTGACCAATTTCCTCAATATTTTGCTGATAAAGTCAAATGCATTGTAATATGGGTTCCACTTGGACAGGGTCTTATGGGATGACTGGGGCACCATCTTGCCCTTTTATCTGTGTCAGCCTTGCAAGGTAGTCCAGACAGGAAGCACACTCATATGAACTAACTATACTGTATTGTAAGGTTACATTATCAGACTGTTCCCTGGCTGTGGCTCTTCCCACTGTCTGAGCTGAGCTTTTTTGATGGAATCTGTTTCTGAAACTAAACCAACTTCAAAACTATATCAGAAATTAAAATATACATTTAAAGTTGAAATTACGTATTTATGACTTATGGAATAAAGAATTGGAATACTCAATAATGGGACATCTATGGATGTAAATTTTAAAAAATGTGAAGTTTGTTTCTTTGAATTTGAGGTTGAAAATAATCCATCAAAAGATTTTATTCCAAGCTGATTTCATCCTCAAAAAATGTGTCAGATGGACTGCAGATTTTCTCTGTTAGCAGTGTTAAAAATGTGAGGGTATTTGGTCACGTCCAGTTCTGATTTCTTTTTGGAATAATATTGTAACATATATCAATAGATGTATGGGTAAAAAAAATCAAGTAAAAGATATAAATAGTATTTTGAATTATATTCCAAAATTGTGGAATCTGACTATGTTTGAGGAATACTGGTTATATAGACAAGATAATTATATTGAGCCACTGGAAAAGTACTATTGCCTCCACATTAAATTTGGATTCAAGAAAGTAATTTATCTGTTTCTGAAAAGACTGTTTTTTCTACTAATCAAAAAATGACACAATATGTTATCTTTGGCATAGATTTCATTATATTTTACAAGAAAAGACATTTTAATGCATATTTTGATACCTTGTTATTAGATGATTATATGAATATGTAATATATTTAGGTAATTAATATTAACTTAGTATGTACATTTTAGGTTTTTATTTTATTCTTTATTTTCTTAGTTGTGATATTATAACCTAGTAACTAATTAATCTATTGTATTAATGTACATACATTGTTTTTCTTTTAATCTGCTTTGCAATCTGATTTTCTTCGAATTTCTTTTTGAAAACGGCAATAAAATATTATATGAATGTATTCTTGAAAGCAATCTGCAGTCTTCAGTAGGATTATTCAGATGTAAATGTACATAAGATTGCAGTACAGGAAGTAGAAATGTAGTATACATAAGCAATAGGTTTTGTCATGTTTCAGAAAATCAAGCATGGTGTGTGTATAATGGCATGTTCCTCAAGCCAATTTTTCTAAGGAGCCTGACTGTGGGATTGGGGAGGAGCTTAGTACGGATGCTGGGGCTTCCTTCAAGGCTCTGAACTCTTATATAACTAAGTCATGAAAATAAGAAACAGCTCTGAAGCTGAGATGTGGTATGATTCCCTGCAGATTTTGTTTGATATATTTGGTAAATGGCCGAGGCAGCTTTGCAAGAACTGGCAGCCAGAGCACCATTCCACTTCAGAGATGTATGAGTAAATACAGACAGAACAGTTCAGAGGTGAACTCAACATCTTTTCCTTCCCAGTGCAAAGAGAGGCTAATAGGAAACAAAAAAGGGTTTCTGAAGACAGAATCAGATTTCCAATTTGCATGGTATTGAGGTGTCTGTTGAATAAAAAAACAGTGCCCTGTGACGTTGCCTTGGTTATATATATGGAGCTTTGTTTATATGGGACTGTGCTGACCTTGATAGTCTTGCCCAAATCTAGAAAGAACACGATTTTATTCCATGTTACTCTTCCTATGCAGCAGAAAAGGAATGCAGAATTGTAAGTTTAAGTTCATAGCTAAAGTCACAGGATTTCTCTTCCTTCTCTAACTTCCACCTTCTTGATTCAATCTCATCTGCCTAGAACTTATCTGGAGGTTGAGTCATGGCAACTGGACTTTTCTTTTGGTTTGATACGTTTCACTGCTTGTCCATGCAGCTTCTTCCGTTTTAGATAGTTGGTTCGGGAGGGATCCATAAATGACTTACAAAGTGGCTGG